TTTTATGCCTTCTTGTTGGTTACCTCAATAACTTAAGCAAGTTATCTTACTTTGTTCACATGAAAGCAATGCTAATACTACTTTTTAAAACTGTGTGCCAAGTTAGAGAAATTGGTAACATAAAACTGTCAAGAGTGATGTGAAAAATAAAAACACAGTCTAAAATGTGATGAAGTGCAATGACTTGTAAGGAAATAAATTTAATAATAAGAATAAAAAAGACACACTAAAAGTCACTGTAGCTTCAGACTTCAAAGTATTGCTATAATTCATGACATGTTCTGATGAGTTGCATCTGTTGTGTGCCAGAGTTGCAAACAGGATTGATTCTTCAAGTTACCAGATGTCACCAAAAATACTTATTTGCTGTGACTTGTGATGTGTGTATGATCAACCAAACTTGTCCGCTATAAAAAGAAATATTTACCAATACATTAGACCCTAAAACCACATCAGGGTTTCTGCCCCTTAGCTGATCTGTAATCTACGCAGAGATGGGGCTTGGTTTCACAGGATGCTGAGGTTTTGATCCAATGAGAAGTTGCTCAGCATCTTACAATATTATTTCAGAATTGGAGAATTTACAGATAGTATTCTCTGTGTTATGCCTCTGTTAAACTTAGAATTTTTTTTTTTTTTTAATACAGGGAGTAATACTAGTGTATGATATTACAAATCGTTGGTCATTTGATGGAATCGATCGATGGATAAAAGAAATAGATGAGGTAAGGTACAATGCCAGAGTGTCACTAGCCTGTAACAGATAAGACCAGCTGCTTATAATATTTTTCTACTCTTTTTACTGGCATTTTCAGGCAGTGCTTACTACAGAGCTATCCGAGATGCCAAGTTTACAATTTTCTTTCTATGTTTACAATTCTAGAAAGTTGAAAACTTATCAGCTAAAGTGTCTGATTTCTTCAAAGGTGTTGATGGAAACCATATGGAGGGCAAAGATTTCATATTGTAGTCCTAGTCTTGCTATAGTTCTGCCACATCATCTGTGCAAGCTTGTCTTCTCTGAGGGAGGGATGTTTTTAGATCTGAGAATCAGAGAGTAATTTAAGCTGGAAGGGACCTCTAGAGATCATCTGGTCCAACCTGCCAATTAGTCTTTAAATCTTGACAAAGCTTTTGCTTGTTTTAATTGAGCGGGGGGGGGGGGGGGGCGGAATGGAAATGGAAGCCAAGCTATTAATTTTTTATTGCTTCTCTTTGCTCAGCATGCTCCTGGTGTACCAAAAATCCTGGTTGGAAATCGCCTTCACTTGGCCTTCAAGCGCCAAGTGTCTACTGAACAAGCACAAGCCTATGCTGAGAGGTTGGGCATGACTTTTTTTGAAGTCAGTCCACTTTGTAATTTCAACATTACAGAGTCCTTTACTGAGCTAGCAAGAATAGTATTGATGAGACATGGAATGGACAGGCTCTGGAGGCCGAACAAGGGTAAGCGATATACACTGAAAATGTGTAAATTTAGTCCTATCTAATGTTTATGGTTTACTAGTATAAAATAATTTTCAGAAGCTTTAACCCTGATGCAACAGCATCAAAAAAGAAGAGTCAAAAACCCTGTGCAATTTACTTTCTAAAGAGAAAATATATTTCTGCAGGCATAACCTGTTCTGCTTTTGTGGGAAATAACTTACCTTTCCTAGAACTTAGATGCTCAGTCATCTAAGTATTAAGACATAAATAGGAAACTGAGGCAGCAGATATTTTGGGTAATGTATATGTGGGAAAGCGTGTGGGAAGAGAAATGAGAATTCATCCTGGAAGTATAGAGTGCATGCAGTGTGCTGGGTATGCTACTACCATGTGGCTGACAGAAGCATGCTATTATAATGCAAGTTTTATGTCTGTTTTTAAGTACTGAGTCTGCAAGACCTTTGTTGCCGTGCCATAGTTTCCTGTACCCCTGTGCATCTTGTTGACAAGCTGCCTCTCCCTGTTGCCTTAAGAAGCCATCTCAAATCTTTCTCCATGGCAAACGGCCTTAATGCCAGGATGATGCATGGACGCTCATACTCCCTCACATCCAGCAACATCAATAAAAGGAACAGCTTAAAGAAAGCTAAAATTATCCGTCCACTGCAGAGCCCACCAAAAAACTGTACTAGAAACAGCTGTAAAATTTCTTGAGCTCTCTGTGGGAAAAGGAACCTGGATGGAATCCCCTCATGTGAAGTGTTGAACACAAGGTCTCGTTGTTTAATGGTTGAGCACACTCTATGTATGTATCACACTACATAGGCAAAAATAAGAAAAATAAGTCTTATTTAAGAGCTTGCTCACTACAGTAATGCTGCTTTGGAATGAATGACATGTTCAGTGCAACTGAAAGGATGTGACATTTTGCTGTTGGATTTTCATACTGCATTTTAGTTTCTGATGTGCATGATGCCATTGTTTTTACTAGTAGATGTGTTTTCATGTAGGGGATAATTATTATATTCAGTTCTTAAATCCATGGAATCTGGAAAGTGACTTACTGTGTAATTGTATAAAATCCTGTCTTTTTGCAAACTATTCAAAAATGTAAGAATGAGTCATCGGTTTGCATATTCAGGCAGAGGTTTTTAAATGCAATGTATTGTATACATTGTTAAATTCTACAAATAGTGTGACAAATTCTAGTAATACTGCAATTGTGCATTTGGATTTTTTTGTAAAGCTTCCCTGATAACTTTGAAGCACTAACTTAACTAAGCTAAAAATGTATATATAATTATTATGCACATACACAAGGTTTTGTCCCATTAGTGTATGTAATAGATTTGATAAAGTTTTTGGTATGTTATTTAATACTTTGGGGGATTAATTTGTGGTTTAAATACTTATTTTTCGGTAAAAAAAATAAATAAATTACATTTTATACCACTCTACAAGAAAGTTCTAGGAAGAAAATGCCAAAGACACTGTGGTAAAAGGAACATGACTAGAAGATCTGCTTTATAAGGCAAGAACACTGTTTAAAAAATAAATAAATGTTTCTGGAAAATAAATCCTATTATGCTTTCTTTAACGGGGGAAGGTTGTCTTTATCTTCCATTAGAAGAATTTGAAAAACAATGTACCTGGACTAGACCCTGCGAATGTGACATTATCCTAAAAGCATCATGTAATGCTTTTGATACAACATCTGTCGTCAATATTGTTAACTGAAACATGGAAGAATAATACATGTCAAGTCTTCCATTTGTGAAGGAACTGTGTGACTTGTTCTCCTGAGTAATAACAGTCCTTTGAGATGCCCAGTTTCTTTTGGGTGTCTTCACTGTTGTGAGATACCATCAAGTTACATATCTGTAATATTCCTTCTGGATCAGCATAGACATCCATAGTCTGTGGAGGCAATTACAGAAAATTCAAGCCAAAGTGAGTAAAATGCCAAAGTTATGCCAGGACCTGGACCATCAATGCATCACTAAAAGAAAAGCACAATCAAGAACAAGTCTTCCTGTAGTTAAGGCTAAAGGGCAAAGCAAAGCGCTGTGGAGGGAACTCCTGCGGGACAGCTCCCGCAGCGAGCGCGCTGTGCCTGCCGCTGCCGAGGGAGCTGCAGAGGAATGCTGTGCGGGGCAGGATGCAGCTGGCAGGCTCTAGGGATTGCATCTCCACAGCTTTAAAAAGTGTACATAGCAGCCTACAGCTACAAGAGTTTAAACCTGAATCTGAGACGTCTGTACTCGGGCAGCAATCTGACTGTGGTTGACTCGTGGCTGAGTGCGGGATGGAGTTCTCTTCTGTGCACATTGCTGTACTGTTGTAAGTTTCTTCTGAATTATAATCTTGGCCTCTTAAAGCACCAGGTCATTAGTTTGTTTCCGTTCTGTATGTGATATGCAGAAAGAATGCCCAGCTGGAGAGAGTGTTAATACGCATGTGTGTGTCCTCAAGGTCAGATTCTCTATTCCTGCTGCCAGGCAGTGTAAAGGCAAGGTGAAGAGGAGATGAGCAGCACTCCTCGCTGCTGGTAATGCCTGCAGCAATTCCACATGGAGTAAGTAAAGCTGAGGCTGTAGTTGGAAAGAGAGAGGTTTAAAGTAAGCAAAGAAAGGCTTGTTATCTCATATACCAAGTCTCCTGACTACCCAAGGAGACAAAATCTTGTAAAGATGCACCGTGATTTTTTTTTTTTTTTTTTTATGTAAGTGCAGAAAGCAGATGGTTCCAGAATTGTAATGGGCCATTGTAAACTGAAAAGCTGTAGTAATTTTCAAACTGAAGTCTGTGCTGGAGAAGAGTTGGTCACAAATCTGGAATACAACATCAAGCCATTGCCATGGAAGGTGCAGAACAAGTATACAAAAGGAAGTGAATGCACAAGGATAGGGTATAGCTGGCATTTGTGTGAGAACACACATGTGGGCTTACAGCTATTTGTAGTTGTGAAATAAATCAGGGTGGAAGGGGCCTCAGCAGGCCATCATGTCCAACATTGTGCTTAATGTAGATTCACTGTTGAACCCTGGTCAGGTTACTTAGGGCTGTGGGTCTTGAAAACTCAAAATTTTTCAAGGCTTTTTTGTAGTGGTGGTGGTTTTGTTCTTGTCAGGTTAGGGGCCCCCCGATTTTAGCACGTCCTATTTCTTCTATTCTTCCTAGTTCGATACTCGGTCTGTGCCCGAGGTGAGACTCTGCCCAGCGGCCCCTCAGTGCGGGAGAGGCCCAGGGCCGGCCCCGGGCCCGGCGGGAAGGCCGGGGTGCTGCCCTGTGAGGGCGAGGGGATCCCCACAGCCCTGCCAGCCCCGGCCAGGTGCGGGGGGGTAAAGCTCTGGGCCGGTTTTCCCGAGGCGCGGGCTCCGGCCACATCCTCCCCACAGCTGGGCCTACGCAGCCCCCTGAGAAAACCCCTCTTCCCCACAGACGCGTCCGGGTGCTGCAGGGGCCCTTCTCCCGCCCAGCAGCACGGCCCGCTCCCCGCCCCGGCAGCCGGCCGCGCCCGCCGCCATTGCCCGCCGCGCCGTGGGGCGGGGCCACTCCATTGCTCGGCGCTCCTCACCCTGGCGGGTTGGATGGCCTCTGCGCTCCGGCGGCGCTGCCTGGCAGGGTCGGAAGCAGCCGCCGGCCTGTCCGGCCCGGCGCCGCTCGGTTCGGTTCGGCTCAGCTCGGCGCCGCTCGGCTCGGCTCGGCTCCCGCGGCGGGGCTGAGGCGGGCGGGCGCCGCTATGGTTTAAAGCGCGGCGGGCGGAAGCGAACGGGCAGGAGCCATGAACCTGCTCCCGGCCAACCCACACGGCAACGGGCTGCTCTACGCCGGCTTCAACCAGGACCACGGTGAGGGGGCGCGGCCCGGAGGCCCCTCGGCCCTGGGGAGCCGGGCAGCGGCGGGGGAGGCCCGGCGGCGGTAACCGCCCGCCGCCGCTGAGGGGGGCGCGGCGTCTGGGCCTGCCGCGGGTGCCCGGGACCAGCGTGGGCGGCCCGCGCTGCCCGCCCCGGGCCTGCGGCGCCCACCCGCGGAAGGCGGCGGGAGGGTGGGGCGCCGTGTCCCGTTCCGTGGTGCCCCCGCCGCGGCTGCCCGGGCCTGGGGCCGGCTCCAGCCCGCTGTGTGTGCAGGGGGACCCCTTAACCCCCCCCCCCCTTGTTCCAGCTCTGGTCTGGCAGCGCGTACCCGGCCACTTCGGAGAGAGTTGGTTGGGTGGAGTCGGGGGAGGGGAGGGGGAACGCTTGTGTTTAACGTGCATCTTCAAATACATCTGCTTCTCAGATGGCGAGTTGCGCTGCTTAAAACTGGCTACCTTCCCTTGGGTAGTCCGTCTTAAAATCTGTGTTTAAAGGGATGCTCTTTTGAAACGGCATTGCTGAAAAGGTAACTCGCAGAATGCCACTTCCTCAGTGTAAGGACTTTGCGTTCAAAATTAGTGGTGGAACTTCTCTTTTTCTTTTTGCCTGATTTGTATTTTTAAAATTATGGTTAAGACTACTAATCATACTGGCAGACAAGTGCAGATAAATGGATCACTGAAAAGCTTCACTGTATGCTTAGTTCATTCTTTTTCTTTGTTACAAAGGGGAAGGCCTCTTCTAGAAAGGAGGGTGCATACGCCTCATCTTGCTTTTGCAATATAAAAATAGCACTGGTATTATGAGTAAGTGTCATTTTTGTGGAATAAGGAATAGAAGGTCATAATTTTGTAACATCCTTTTGTCTTAACAAATGGTACTGTTGCCTAAGACACTCTTGCAGCTTTTGTCATTGTAGACTGTAGTTCATATACCTGTTGCTGATGCTGTCACAGTTGTGTGTAAACACAAATTATCTTGTTGATTTTAGTCTAACATCTCTGGTGACATTTTGTCAGTAGTATACCAAGTTGTGAATGAACTGAGTTTCTTGGTAGCTGCCTTCATGCTCTCCTGTTGACTTGAAAGCAACAGAGTAGTCTGTTTTTCAGCAGCTCTGTTTGAACTTGTTTTCCTCTTGCATTTGCAACAGAGATGGAAAAATAGATTTGTGAGGATGAGATTCATTTCAAATTTGCAGGTGTCTGGAATGAAGTGGTAATATTTGATGCTTGGCCTGCGATGAGGGTGAGTTAGAGAACTGTGTAAGAAGATAAGTTTCTCTTTTACTGCAAAATGCCTTTCAAACACCATTTTAGTATGTAAAACTTGTTCTTTGTTTCAAAGGCTTCTTTAAATTCTGTAGCCATAAATGCAAAATAAAAACTTTTTTGAATAATGTCACATCCAAAGTACGTTAAGGAATTTGTCTTGGGAATCTGTGAGCTGACAGTATTCAAGTCTCATCCTACGTAGCCTGGCCAGCCAAACAAATAACAACAGAAAACCTGAGGAAAAACTATGTTTGGCTTTCATTTGCAGGCTCCTGGAGCTGTTCCTGCTGATGAATGATGGCTTTGAACTGTAGGTAGCATGATAACTTTTTACTAGTTTAGGACCTTTGTATAGTGTTAAAGGGTAGGTAATTCTTTGGCTGCTCAAAGAAGAGTAGGTAAGAGGAAAAGCTCACTTCTTCCTTATTGCTTCTACCAAAAATAGAAATGAGTCATTTGAGAGCTGAAGCTTAGTAGTGTGCGTGTCTGTGTATATTGTCACAGTAACCTAATTTCTTGGTAATTTAAGATTAGCCAATCACATAATGATGGGAAGATGGGAGGAATGATCTAATAAGTCTCTTGAAGTCCTAACTTCCATGACTGACAAGTGATACAGCTAGCGCCTGCTGTTTTTCTGAAACGTGCTTCCCTTACTCTTTGGGTGATACTAAATTTTATATTGGGTGCCTTTGCTGCTTTTCGTTTTTAAATTAAAAAATAAACAGTGTAAACCCCCCCCCCCCGCCCCCCCCAAAAGAAGTAAGGCCCACATTGCAGGGTGTTTTCAATTGTTTTAAAACAGAATTCTCTGACTTTAGGTTCTTAATTTCAAGCTGCTATACTCCTGATTTAAGGCACTTTTCTAATGGTTTCAGAAGGATGTTTAAGTGCTTTACAGAAACAAATGGACAAAACATCATAATAAATTACCATACTAGAAAATATTGCTGACGAGTTTTTCTTTTGTCACTGGTATAGTCTAAAGCTAATTTGAAAACTGAGGTGTGGACTTGTTTTGGTGTTGAAACACTTGGATTATTCATATGATCTCCTTTAGTGGACTGAAATGCTTAGCTATAGGACCCCACACAGGATTCTGTGTGCTCTTTTACGGCTTTGGACAAAATTTGCTGTGGTGAGGAAAACTAACATGCTATGAACTGCACCTGCCATAGTCACTTCCCTGGACTTCACTGTTGCAATTTCTGGATCTTAGGCCCTAGAGACCGCAGATTTATGTCAGCATGCTCCCTTCAGCTTGTGGTGTTTTCTAGGATAGTTGTTAATTTAACCCTTCTTTTTAATTTGGTTTTAGAAAAACAAACAAGACTCACTGTGGCCTCACTGGGACTGTTGTCAAATAGTAGGAACAAGCACAACTGTGGGTTAGGGTAATATTTTTTTGTTGTTGTTGTTGTTTTTTGGTTTTTTGTTTTTTTGGGTTTTTTTTAAGTATCAGAGTTGCCTTCTGTCGGTGGCTCTTTGACAGCATGTCTATCCCTTCTTAAAATAACATGTGAACTTCCTGTGGAAAGAAGTGTACCCATTATTGCAGCAATTCCCTCTTCTGACAGCCCTTCCCCAGCTCCCTCATGCGTAAGAGTTTACAAGCTCTAGCTGTAGCTGTTGAATTTGTGATCCTACTCATAAACACCTGGACCAGTCAGATAGGAAACACTGGGCTCTGAAGCTGTTCCTGTAACCTGGAATTGAATGAGTAGCAGTAATCTTCCTCTATGTTTTTTTTTATTTCTTGTTTGGCTCAGGGGCTGCCTTGACTGAGAACTTCATACCTCTCTCAGTAATAATCGACTGTGGGGAATATCACCATTCCTTGCATTCCCTCAGTTCTGGTGTATTGTCTCCAGTTAAAAATGTAGCTATTCCCAAGGCATTAAAAGCAGCCCACGTCTTAGCTGTGAGTTTAGCCCTGCAGAAAAGCTGTAGTGGTGCTACAGGGAATGTAACATCTGCATTGTATTCCGTTAGGAATGCTCCCTTTGGGTTTCTTATGCTGGTATTAACACAAGTAAAACTTCACAGTGCTTTTTTACTATAGAACAGTTCCAGCATCCTTGTCCTTCTTCTCTCCTGGAAATACAATATTTTATTATGAAACTGTTGCTGGAAACATAATTATGTGGATACACACAACAGCTACCAGAAACAAATTAGTTTTCATCCTGTACAGTATTGCTTTGTGTGTAGAGAAATGTTTCCATGTAATTTGCTTTCTAGTTATCCCAGTAAGGTATACTGCACGAGGTGGCAGCTTACTAGTGCTGTGATTTCAACACAGCATGCTCTTATGTATTAGACTGCCAGAGCAAACTCAAGAATGAATGATGCACCGAGAAGGGAGGAGGTAAAATTAATATAGCTAATTTAAAAGCATCTATTTCAATACGTTTAGTAATCTTTCTTTAATTATTATATTCCTCTTAACCACTTTCTAGGTATGTTTTTTCACACAATATTTTTTCACTTAATTTATTACAGAATCTTGGGCAGGGTGAAGTTGTGCCTGTGAGTCTTTTGGGTTGGGGGACTAGATTTATTGTGTGGGTTTTGTTTTGTTGGGTTTTTTTCTTCACTGTGTAACTCTTGTACTGTTAGGACAGTCAGGTATATTGGGTCTGTTAGTGACTATAGGTAAAATAAGAGGGTTAATTTCTTTCCTTTCTACATTGAAGGGTGCAGAGATGGATCTTATAGTAATTTTTCCTTTGTATGTGTGAGTTCAGTGAATGGCAGCCCTAAGGATGCTGCCAAACATACACCCCCACACCTCATGAGATACTGGGCTGTAAAAGCAGGGGATGTGTGTGATGCCTTTTTTTTTTGTTGCTCTTGGGTTTTGGTTGGTTGGCAAGATGTGTGCTTGGTTGGGTTTTTTTTCTTGGTTTGTTTTGTTTAAGTGGTCCTACCTGGAATTAAACTCTTGAAGTATTACAAAGGAATCTCAAACTGGCTGCATTATTTTTCCCGAATGGTGGAGTTTTTAAAACAATACTGTTGTCAAGATCAAGTTTATTATACAGTTTTGTATTGTTATGTGATAACATTGATTTTGTTCTGTTACAACAGCAACAACAAAGATGTCACCACTTACATTATTTCTTCTGACATCTTAACCTGCATCATGACATGACCAGTGGAAGACATATATTGAATGTTGCTCACTTGCTCTTCAGTGAGCACATGCATTTTTTTAAATTGAGCTCGTATTAAGCTAACAGTATGCAAACCACCAAGATAGTCATGCCTGTGTTGTGAGGACCATTGTTGGCTGCTTGTGACCATTAACACCGGGAGTACCTGAAACAGTCTCCTGTGGTCTGAGTCCTTTTGCCAGCTTTTGAGCCACTGCTCCCCAGCAAACCAGTCTTGTCTTGTGTGTAGGGAGTCATGGGTCACTGAGCTATGAGCAAGTGGTTTGGAGACCTTACGTTAAGAGTGAAAGCTTCCTTCCCTCCTTCCCCCACCTACCCTGTGATTTTTGGGTATTGAGTTTGGGGAAGGGGTGCATTTCGACATCGCTTCTCAATTTTTATTTGAAGGGTTCAAATCACTGCAGCCGTTGTAACGTATAAGAATAAAACAATAGTCATTTGAATATCTCTGTTCCAGTGCCTTCAAGATCTTAACTGGATTTTTGATACAGTGCACATAAATTGTGTGCAGATAATCTGTCAGTCTGCCTCTATCGACAATAGCTGCTTCTTAGTGACTTGTAATTGTTCTAACTTCACACTGGCATCTCTTTATGTTAGTAACTGCATTCACCCACTAGTGAGTAAAACAGCAGGACAGGATACTGGTAGTTTGACAGATTCCACTAAAATGGCACATGCATAATTCTGAATGTAAAAGTGGCTAAAATAATTTTCCACAGTATTTTAATCTGGCTTCTAATCATTCCCTGATTTAGACTTAAACTATTGGCATGTAATTACTGGCATCGTTAGAGCATTCTTAAAAATTATGTTTGAGAACCTGTCTCCTGTGGAAACATGAACAACAGATTATGCTTCATAGGGTCATAATGTAAATTTGGATCTGATAAGAAAGGAGTGGGTTTGCTTCATAATGACTGTTGGCCCATCAAAGTTAAAAAGCAGGTTTCCTTCTCTGTATAGTGCATGGAGTAGGATAAGATGGGTTGGGAATTGCTCTCCTTTCCTTCCATTGTTTTCTCACCTATCTTAATAGAATACTGAGAACTTTCCACTCTCAAAAGAGACAGGCATACTCCTCTAAGCGGTTTTCACTTGGAAACACTAACAAAGCCTGCAAGTGGTCTTCAGCTTGAATTTAACAATTTAGTTATCGAGCAATCCTCTTAACCCTCTGGCTCTTGCTTAGTTCTTGAGTGTATCTCACAATTACTATATATATGTGTGTGTGTATATATATATATATATATATATATATATGTGCTTTTTACTACAGGATGCTTTGCATGTGGAATGGAAAATGGATTCCGAGTTTATAATGCAGATCCACTCAAAGAAAAAGAGAAACAAGGTAAAATGCTTACTTATTATACCATGCTAGTTCTGTGTTGGAAGCTCAGCCTCCACAATTTTTTTTTTCTGTAAGATTCTTGCTTAGCTCTCACTATTCCTTCACTGGAAGGCTTTGAATAAAGTCTCAAGAAAGGAAGTCCGTGTTGGTCCCAAAGGGACTGTCACTTATGCCACTGCCTGATCAGATGTTTATATGCTGTTAATTTGCATAAAGCTGGCTGATGATGAATGTCTCTTACCATCTTGCAGAAGCTGAATTGTGTTAGCCGTTGCTGATGTCTGTAGTCCTGAATAGGAGATAAGTTGCCTGGTTATGTGTTATTCACAAGTGGGAGAAGTGTTGCTCGCTATAGTGGTATTATGTACCATCAAGAGAAGTTCTTCTGTTCTTAGGCAGTAATCTGGATGATCTAGTACAGCAATAAAACTGCTGCCTCTTTATTGCAGATCTGAAAATAATGTTTCTCGTACTTTAGAGTATTGCTTGCAAGAGCACTGTGAGCTCAGACCTCTAATACTCTAAATTTTATATTCTCTGTATGCTTAAAAAATTTGGGAGGATCTTAAGGTGGTAAACCTAGTATGATGTCTTAATAGAAATAACTAGATAAGCTATATTAACAGGTAGTGGGGCTTTTTATCAGAAAGCAAACATAACTGAGCCAAAATATGGGAAAATTAAACCTAGCCATGTGATTCTAACCCTAAATACACACAGAAAGCTGCCATGCTGATTAGGTTTCCCTGCACTTCCAGCCTGTGGTAATAGAAAGGATTTAATAAAAGAAAAGATGTATTTAAAATAGCAATTCCTGTGACACCAAGCATGCCTTCACTTTCTAGTGCTGTCAGAGATTTCAGTCACTGTCCATGTGACCCAAAGCTGACAAACTGTTTTCTGTTCTTAATACTAAATTCTTCCATAAGCAACATATCGGACTGTCATCTGTGATAGTGTGCTAAAAGGATCAGACTTTGAAATCCTGTTGAGTTCCTTGTCAAAACTCTCCCGGACAGTAGCTCTAGACATACTTTCAGGACTTCTATCATGAAACATTTCTTACAAGTCAGATGGCCTTTCCCCTGTGGATTTGGAGAGGTCAGACTGTGCTGGCTGCATATGCACACAGAGAAATCTTTCATGTGTATTTAAACTTACCTGAGATAGACAAGCTCCAACTGGGTCTGTCTGATTTCTGTAACCCAGTATGAAACCAAGTCTTAATGGCTACACCTTGGCTTATATCCTCTGTAAATTTTAATTTGTACATATAAAATTGTAAATAGTATATATTATATCCTTTCGTATATCCAGGAGTTCCATGAAGTTCCCCATTCAAACAGCACCTGTCAGAACTGTAAAGAGAATGATTAAAGTGTCTGTAGTAGCACAGATTCCGAACACATTGCATATTCTGATATTGTCTCAGGTTATAACTGGTAAATATTTTAAGACTTTTTGTTGTGGTGAGAATACCTCTTCATAACAAAATGTGCTGTCATGCTTTAAATACTTTAATGGAGTTAAGATCCAGTGCAGAAGGGGGTGGTGTCCAAATATAACTGTTCAGGAAGGAAACTTGGCAGTCAAAAGTGTTGTTGAATAAACCACAAGGACTTGCACGAAATCCAAGGCTTTCCTTGTTGCTCCAACATGAATATCTGTCCAGGCATCTACCTTCGGCGTGGTGTGGTCAAGTCCCAACATACACTCCTCATACAGAGAAACTGCAGTGCTGCGTAATGTCTCCCTGGCTCTCCTCTGTCCTATCCTTCAGGCACATGGACATCTTTCCACTGTAGAGCTTCCTCAGACACTTTTGCAGTTTTCTCCCATCCCTATTTCTGACAGTAGATCTTTCTTGAGTCCTTGTGAAATTTCAACTTCTCTAGCTTTGAAACTGTTTACTACTGTCATCCACTTTTCCTGCTGCAACCTGCCAGTGTGTGGAGTTACTGGACAGTCTTTTAAGGTTGAAGTTTGTTTTTAACTCTGCTCAACTACCTTGAAGGGCACAGTTACAGCCTTTCCTGATAGTTTGGTTCCCTCTCCCCAGTGGAGTGCCAAGCCGCCTTCTTGGCTATGTAAACAAAGACATGACCCCACTCAAATGCCATCAAATAAAAAAATTCTATTATTATAAAAATCCCCTGGTTGATGTTTTGCTCCTCCACTTGCACCATAAGCATGGCACTTTACTTCCTCTGCAGTTGAGATTTGTAAAAAGAAAAAAAACCCTTTTCCTTGCACTGTAAGTAGAGATACTGCACCACCTGATCTATTTTGCTTCCACTATGTTTTCTGCATCATTGATAAGAAGCTCGCGGGAGCCGGACCATATTTCTTCCCTATTCTAGCAGCTACAGGTATGGTGCAGGGAATAGCACTAAGATTCCAGTTCAGTTACATACGTGTGTGTTTTGCCTTCTTTCTGCAAATGCACCAAATCTTTAGAGACAAATCCCCTCGCAAATGAAGAGGTTCACAACTAGTGAGTACTATTGGTGCTTTTCTAAATGCATGGCGTTAGCGTAATAGAGCAACAACAGGCTTGAAATGCGTGTGTGTGTGTGGGCAATGAATTTGAGCTAATTGGACAGGCTTTCTAAACATATTTATAAGCCCACTGTATAATAGAAATGATCAAGCTGCCATGATATTGCTTGATCTCCTCTCATGCATCATGTTTTAATATAACATTAAAACCTTGCTGTGGTTTTTTTTTTTTATATATGAAAATGAGGCCAGTCCCAACTGTGTGCTAACAACAGTGGTGATCTTCATTGCTGTGAAAAATAAAGCAACCTTGCTGAGAATCCTAATTTTAAACAAGCACCAAAAAAATAAACAAACAAACAAACTAGCAAAAACCACTCCAAAACAAAAATGAAAAATCCCCCACCCTTTTAGTCAGGATTTTTTGTCTGTCACCCTCACTCTTGGAGGATTCTCTGCTTTTTAAGGTGAGCCAAGATAGGATGATACTGTTCTTGTCAGGTGCCTGGGAGAAGTGCTAGATAATGTGAGGTTTTCTTCTGACAGTCATAAAAATTAGATGGCACTTTAACAGGTCCTGGCACTCCTAAATAAAATACGTTTGTCTTTCAGAATTTCTAGAAGGTGGTGTTGGCCATGTCGAAATGTTGTTTCGTTGCAACTATTTAGCACTAGTCGGTGGAGGAAAAAAGCCGAAGTACCCACCTAACAAAGGTGAGTCTTGAGGAGGAGATCTCGTCAACGTTTGCTTTGCTATCTGCGTGAAATTGCCTAAAGACCTCCCAAACCAGATGCCTGGAGCTGGGATCTGCTACTCTGAAGGTTGGATGGAGTGGGTGTTGCAGCAGGTTTAAATCACTGTGGTGAACTAAGCTGCATCGCTGCTGTTGCGGTGTTGGCAGGCGGTTACCTGCAGCAACCCGTCCGAGCCCTGCCGACAGCCTGCGCCTCTCACGGGGAACTGTGCGACGAGACTCTGTGGCTCGGCAGCCTGAGGGGGGAAAGGTCCCTGGTTGGCAAGCTTTGCAGGAAAACATGCTGCTTGGTTTGACTGCTGCCTTATTTCATTGATAACCCTCAGAACAAACCAAAAGAGCTGATTGTCTTTAGAAAAATGTATTTTGAATTGTCAGCTTTTGTGGTTAGAGTTTACCAACTCCTACCTGCATGAGTCATAGCGTGAGAGAGTGGGTTGCTACGTAGCAGCTGAATACCTTCTGGTTAGCAGGCTGCCAGTGTGTAACTGCTTGGCCGTTGGGTGCGCCTCTTGATTAGCCTTCTCCGAAACTAGAAATTGTTATAAGGGAGAGGATACGGCTCTTCAGATCTGCCTTCAGGATCTGATACGATCTCTGCACTGTTCTAGTAATGATCTGGGATGACCTGAAGAAGAAGACTGTCATCGAGATAGAGTTTTCTACAGAAGTCAAAGCAGTTAAGCTGCGGAGAGATAGGTAGGTACAGCCAACATGTTCCAAACGCGCAGCCGGGCTTTGTACACTCACTGTAGAAAGAAAAGATCCTGCTTTAACACCAGCAATTAAAAGCAAACTGGACTTTTGGGGGCAAGTGTTAGGTGTTAACAGCTCAAGTACACTGGTGTCTGAAACTTTGGTGAAAAGCCTGTAAGACTTCCTGGCCCCCTGATGTAGGGAAATGTTCTCGTGTGGCTGCTGCTGGCTGCTGTTCTGGGTATGGAGGAGTGTGGAGGGAATTCAAGTGGATCTTTAGAGCAAGAGCATCTATTAACAGCTGGAGTCTGTGTGTGTGGGCGGAGGGGTTCTGCTGTCACAGCTTTGGATAAAAGTGCTTTGCAGGCTCATAGTTGTGTGTTTTTTTGCAAGGCTGTGAGTCTTTTGTGGGGGCAGAAAGAATACAGCCGTTAAATGAGTTGAAAGCCTTTGCAGATCTGATTTGGTATCTGTGTCCCTGTTTTATCCTCCCCAAGTCATAGGAACTTCTTGTCTGTTTCAGAATTGTGGTAGTCTTGGACTCGATGATTAAAGTTTTCACATTCACACACAATCCCCACCAGTTGCACGTCTTTGAAACCTGCTACAACCCTAAAGGTTAGTTGTATTCTGTGGGTCGGGGAATGGAAGCAAGTTTATTCTGTTCTTGACATGCTATTTATCTTTAGCTTCCTGAATCAGTTCTTTAAGTCATTAAACAGTTTACTTATTGCACAGGAGTTGTGCCCTTTGGAGATACTTTTGTGATTATAAAATGGTTATTAAAATGTATTAATACTTGCCAGATAAAAACTTTTTCACGTACTCCTGTTACATTACAGATTGGGTTTCTGTAAGAGCTTTATCCTTTCTTCAGTAAACAACCTGTAAACTTGATGTGTTTTGTGCTGAAAGCTCAATCATAAACACAAACTCTGCTGAAGTACTTCATCTAATAGAGCTAGAACTGCCTAGCAAACTATCTTCTACAGTGTCAACAAGAGCCTAAGTAGCAAACTGATAGTGTTCTTTTTAAATAGCAAGGCATGGCTTTGTCTTTGGTTGCAGTGAGCAGAAGGTATCCCGAACCCAGCCGCGCAGTAGTGCCACAGGCCCGGTACGGTGTAGCTCTAGGGCCCAGGTAGGTGTGGGAGGAGGCAGGCTTGGGTTTGACCTAAGGAAAGGGTTTTGTTACAGCAGGTTTTGCTGAGAAAGGGAGGTGCTGTCTGGAAGGAGAGCCGAGAGGGTGAAGCGATGAGCATACTCCTCTGCCGGCTGCACACTTCAGACTAGGTGTGTCAGGGAAGGTCTGAAACCAGAGGGGTGTGATGGCAGCTCTGCGAGCATCTGCCGCCAGGTCAGGGCCCCGAAGCGCACGGCTGCACGGGGAGGGTGAGGCCTTGGCCTCGTTCCCTCATGCGAAAGGGAGACGGAAGGGCGATGAGCAGCTCCCCGAGGGACAGTCCCAGAGACGCTGCAGCCAAACTCCTCCGGGGAGCGGCAGCCGGTGGATCAGGGGGTGTTGGCCGTGCTTGGTACCTGGGGGGGAGCAGCCTGGGCATCGGGAAGATGTCCTCTCCACCGGGAGGTTACGCAGGCTCCGCGTCTTCGGAGGTTTTCAAGCCTGCCAGAAGCGAGCAGAGAGGCTGTGGCTGCGCACTGGGTTCGGGGTGCTGACTCGCTTCCAGGCTGGTGGGCGCAAGGTGGAAGGTGCGGAAGGATGATGTTCCCTGTGACACCCACCTGGGGCTCTGCCCGCTGCGGGCTGGGTTCGCAGGAGCTCACTTGGGAACAGCAGAACACCTGGGAGAGAGGTGATTTACCTTAAATGGTCTGTGAAAGGCTATGAAGAAAAAAGTGCAGGTGCCATAAGAACCAAGTTCAAACACAAATTAATAATCAGTTTTATTGATAGAGGAGAAACTAAAATATCAGCTATTATAAACTCTACTCTTTTCGAGCTCCTAAGGAGACTTTCCATGGTGCTTTAAATCGCTTTGCTGTAACAGACTGATGGAGCTGATCTCCAAAAACATCCAGGTTTTGGATAACCACAACTAGGTTACTTTGAAATAAAGTCACGAGAGCAAGATATAATTATAGTACTCCCCTACTTCTCTGTGCTCTGCACTTATGGATGGATCACGTTTTGGGATACTGCAGTAGCCTTTAAAATGAAATTCTGATTTATTACACGTATGTATGTTTGTTCTGAAATTACTGGTATTTTAGAAGCTTGTATTTGAAAATGTTATTAGGTTATGGAAACTACACAGTTGTTGTTTGTTTGTTTTTGTTTTGTTTTGTTTTGTTTTTTCTCTTTTAGGTCTCTGTGTCCTTTGTCCAAATAGTAATAATTCTCTTCTTGCATTTCCTGGAACACATACTGGGCATGTGCAGATAGTGGATCTCGCTAATACAGAAAAGCCTCCTGTAGACATACCTGCTCACGAGGGAGTCTTGAGCTGTATAGCTTTAAACCTGCAGGGAACAAGAATTGCAACAGCATCAGAAAAAGTAAGAATAATCTCCTCCTACCTCTGATTTCCTATGTGTTCTAGTGTAGTAACTCCTCCTGAAATAGGAAGTCGTATCCTTTCCTAGGAAAGACAGAAATAACCAACTGGACCATTTGTCACTGAAATACGTGTTCTTGGTCTTCCTTTACCTTTACTGCTCCTTTAGGATATCCAAACAGCAATCCAAACGCTGGGCCAGAGGTGCTGGTTCTGTTTTAGCCGACTGTAGCAGTGACATTTGAATGAGGATCTGGCCCCAGCAGTTCATGTTTCATGTATTCCTGAAGAAATATTATTCCTTTTAAAAATAATGGGGGGGGAGGGGGGGGGGAAGCTCATTTGCATTTTTTCACCTTTATTAGTTTCTGCTTAAATTCACTGTAAAACCACTGGCTAAAGAAGTACTTGTAAATAGGTCTGTCACACTGGAGAACTTATTTCTGCTGTGGCTTAACTCCTGCTACAGACCAGGAGGGACGTGCACTGCCCCTGTTTTTCTCATACACCCACTGCAGCTGTTTCCATAGAGTGTAAACGATAAAATGATTCTTGGAATTTTTACCAAACTGTGTGTGGCCACGAGTTACACGGGGCTAAGGAAGGCAGGGTGCTGGCAGGGACCTGGTGTTGCTGCCCGGTGCGAGCCCGGCGGGGCTGGGCTGCCGCGGGGCGCCGAGCGCTGAGCCAGTCCCGGCGCTGGCACGGCGGGGAGCGCTGCGAGGGTCACCCCGGGGTGGCAGGACAAAGGGACAAAGGCAGATGCACCCAGCTGCTGTCCCCATCCACCCGGCGAGTGGAGTACTCGCTGCCTCCTTCCACTCAGCTGAATTGAGCTGCTCCAGGACAAGCTGCGTTAATGCAACCAGCCCGTTTAGAATAGTTTACACTGCACGGCCTACAGCTCAGAGAGCTTAAAGAAAATGCAGCCATAGCCTCTCTTAACTAAGCTTAATTAATGTGCGTCTTCTAAACAAAACTCTTAAAACTGCCAACTCCATTGCTAAATAGAATAATAATCTGCTGAATCTCTATTAAGACATTCCTTTTTTTGCATAGAGAAAAAGTTTAAACAGCACTTGCAAACTGAAATGGGAGTATGGGCCAACTGCCATGCTGAGCATACTGTAAGCAAACATCTCAAGTTTGTGTCTTAAATCAAAACTAAGCTGACATTTACCCAAAACTCACTGCTGGGTTCTGTTTCTGGTGTGTGACTAGAGAGATTCATTTGTTAACCAGGTGTAGAACATGAGCTGTAGGTGACAATGCAGATGCAACTCCTCAGATTAAAGTACTGAACTGTTGATCACTTTATTTGGGATACATGGACTTGTTTTGCATCGCTGGTGTCAAACTGAGTTTACTAGTGCAGTATTATGTCTGTAACCCAACCCATCCATGGGGTCTTGCAGATTTGGATCAATGCAGATAATGAGCGTGATAGGTAACTAATTCCTTCAGCTGAACTAATTGTAAGGCAAGACAAGCCCCAGCCTGATCACAGTGGAAAAAAAAATTGGACAGTAGCAATCAGGAGAGTAGTGACTGTGGGAAGCACAATGGAAATGATTCACAGAGCCTGGGCACAGCCTTTTATTTGCAGACTAATGCCAGGGCTGCACTGGTGCTTCAGAACATAGCTTGGGAGAAACTTATTTGAGGAGCTAGGTAACAACAGTGTGGTGATGGTGTGGGGGGAATCAATATTCTTCCCAAAATTTACCACTGAGAGGTTCTCCCAAAGGTTCTCTCAAACCCACCATGTTGAAAAACACAACGGTGTACGTAGGGACACGCCGGTCAGCTAGAATTTTAGGATGCGTTCACAGATATAAAGAGTTTTCTGTCTTTCCTAATATAATGTTTGATTCCTTTTCAAGGGGACCCTCATAAGAATATTTGATACTTCATCAGGGCATTTAATCCAGGAGCTACGAAGAGGATCACAGGCAGCCAATATCTACTGGTATGTTGAATTGCTTCTGCTTTGTCTTCTAGCGGGCAGTGCTGTGCCGAGGCAGCCTGGGGACCGGCGCCCGAGTCCTTCAGCCAGGCGGGGCTGGCAGCGCTGGGGAGCCCGGCCCCGGGGGCTGGGACCAAAACGTGCGTGGGGCAGGGCCCGTGTCTCTGCACAGAAGGGCCGGGGGGACGCTTCACCCTCCCACCGAAACGTGGGGAGCGCAGGGCTGCGGTCTGACACCTGCCAGGCTGAGCGGAGGTTTGTTGCGGCCCAGCGCCGCTCTGCCTGCGAGAGCCCGAGGTTGGCTCTAATCCACTGCTGGAGGCGCCTTCCCGGGTGTGGGGACACTCCCCTCCTCCTGCTGAGCACCACGGGGGTAGCGGCCGTGTGGGTTTTATCCAAAACCTGCCGACTCCTCGGCGCAGAGGTCGGGCAGTTTCTTCCAGCAGCAGCAGGGCAGCCCACACCGATCTCTGTTGGTGTCGGGGCGCCTGCTGCAGCGCGGGGCCCGAGAAAGCAGCTCCTTGGTTCCGAGGGCGGTCGCTCACCCAGCCCGGGGGGGTGGTCCTGTCAGCAGAGCCGCGGGATGGGGGTGTCGCTGCTGCTGCCGCCTCGCGGGGCGGGCGGGCGCCGCTCCGGGCCCCGGCCGCAGCCGCGTTCCAGTGGAAACCCGGCCGCTGTCTCTGTTCTCTACAGTATTAACTTCAATCAGGATGCTTCCCTCATCTGCGTGTCCAGCGACCACGGCACAGTACATATTTTTGCTGCAGAAGACCCTAAAAGAAATAAGCAGTCAAGGTAGGATTTGACCCTTTCTGAAGCCTTTGGGGGGGGTGGGGGGGCGCTGGGGCTTGACCTTTTAAGTTTAAAACCCGGCTCCTGGCAAGCGGCAGCAGTTACCTGCACTACGGGTGGTGGCAAGACTCCTCTGCAGTGCGTGAGCGAAGTTGCACACTTCGGGCTGTATCGCAGCTGCCGGGTTTCTGCTGTCCTTTGCAGAGCTGCAGAATTCCAGCAGAAGGTCAGGGTGTGTTTTTAGCAGCTTCGAATGAACATACTTTGTAGACACTTGCACATAAAACAATCTCTACTGAAAATCAGTCCTTTTGGCAGTTTTTGCAGTCACTTAGAAACATAAAGCCAGAAAGGTAGTTGTAGGGTCCCCCTTCCCTAGAAGGGGAATTGTATGTGTTGCCTGGTACATGGTAGAAGAAAACACAAAGCCAATCAAAACCAGCTGGTAGTGTGAACCCTGGGACTTGTTCAAAGGTGCCAGCAGTTCTAAATTAACTCACCAACACCTTACTAAGTTGTTACTTTTTTTTCTTTCTCTCTTGCAGTTTGGCCTCTGCCAGCTTTCTCCCCAAATACTTCAGTTCCAAATGGAGTTTTTCCAAATTTCAGGTTCCCTCAGGCTCTCCGTGCATTTGTGCCTTTGGAACGGAGCCAAATGCTGTCATAGGTAAGTAACGGCGCCTCCCCGGGGTTCTGGCTGGAGAACCAGGACTTGACCTCCAGGGGCTGCGGGGAATGCTCAGAGGAGATGAGGGTGCGTGTCCCTGCCAGCTCTGGCCGCCCCGCGCTGCGGGTGCGACCCATCACGCAGCGCCGGGGGGGGGGTGGGGGGTAGAGCAGGGCCCAGCCTGAGGTGCTGACTGACCTCGGGTCCCTCCAGAGCCTCCGCCCCACGGTCGCTCTCTTGGCTCCCCAGGGCAGCTCAGGCTGGAGCTGCAGGAACAGAACGGAACCTCTCAACAGCTGAACTGAGCATGTTTGTTTTTGTTGCAGCAATATGTGCAGATGGCAGCTACTACAAGTTCTTATTCAACCAAAAAGGGGAATGCTCAAGGGATGTCTATGCTCAGTTTCTAGAAATGACGGATGACAAGCTTTGACTGAGGTGAGGGGAGCGCGTGGGTCAAAGTCCTGCCCTGGCTCTTCCACACCTTTGGAGGGACAGTATACGAATGTCCAATACTGATCAAGAAGTTTAGCAGACCTCACTGAGAAGCCTGGCCCAACATGATCACAACAAGCTCTGAAGTAGTGGACTACGTATGTTTATTCTCATTTCTGCAAATATTCATCATTAAAATCTCTTTGGGTTACAGTCATCAACTCGTTTTCAGGATGTGGCTTTCAACAAGCTTGTGCCTATTGGGTTTCTCTTAATCGAAACTGTGAAATGACTTTAGATTAAACACGAGTGCCTGCCACACTAAGAGATCTGCAGGAGGCTGTACACATGTACAAGTAGCCTTAGAAAAAAAGGAATGAAAACAGAAGACTCTAGGCATTGCTTTACTTCCACTGACTGGCTGGGAGCGGGGGGAACACGAGGGATCACGCTCAAATCAACCTCTGGCAGCTGGGCCAGGAGCCCAAGTGCTGTCCCCCCTCCCCGAGCCCATCTTAGGGTAACAGAGGAGCAGCCTGCCCCCCACTTGCCCCCGGGCTGTGGGGCAGGGGAGCCCTGGGGCTCCTGTCCCCCTCCCAGCTGCCGGGTGAGGGATCAACAGCTCAGCACCACCGGCCACAGGTGCCCAACTGTGCTGAGGGGCTGAGCTCCCTTGGGGCAGGGGGCAGCTGGAGCTCCTGAGCTGGTTCCTTCTGTAACAAAACAGCCACTCCCGCTGTAACAGCCCCCCCGGGTCGGGGCCTGCGGCTGAGCCGGCGCAGCCAGCACCATCAGTGACCGAGGTGGCACACAGCACATGGCTGCGATGGCTTTACAACTTGCAAACTGTTTTTTTTTTTTTAATTTTGAGATGTTGCATACTAAATACTGTTGGCCTAGGGACAGTTAGGTTAGACTAAACTGACTTATAAACTCTTTCCTGAAATTGTTTCATGGCAATTAACATTTACTGCTGAACTAAGGCACAAGAGACTGAACTAGGAACTGAACTAGACACAAGCTCTCCGCTCAGCACTGAACACCGGGGGAGGGAGTTCTTGCTCTTCTGAAGTTTAATTTCACTAATGCTTCAAATCTAACACGCCAGTTCACTCTAAGATTGTTTAGCTGCAAACTCTAAATCTGACAAGTTTCTTTTAGTGTCACGTAACATACTAAGGACTAACTTCTACGCAGATTTTGATGTCAAGGTTGCATGTTGCTTTTATGTGTATTTAATCACAGAACTTGTTTTGCACACTTATTTGTAATATGTTATTTCTTTTAAATAAAAGTGACTAATTTTGCTGTATTCACTGATGATCACAGGCACAGTTCCTACTGCTGTACGCTCTGGGGACTAAATCTATAACCGAGTAAACAGTGGTGGCTGTTAAAGGACAGAAGTGAATCTCACTGCACAGGCCATGTAACCAGAGGCCAGGAAGTACACAAAGGGGGGGATTTATACCAAACCAAGTCGAACTTCCAGTGCAAACCAGTTAGTGTTCAGCACTGTTTACAGCATCATTCTCCACAGCTGCTCTTCTGAAGCTTCTTACCTTTTAACAGCTGGAGGAGTCAAAGGACCAGCTGGAAACCGCCCCCTCCCTGGAGAAGTACACACACAGGAAAGCATCAGAAACCCTTCTCCAAGGATGATTTAAATCCTCTCTGGTGCAGCTGTAAGCTGTTTATGAGCCCGTCAGCTGCACTCACTGTAAATAGCAAGAAAACTGCTTTAACTAAAACATTAAGCCTTCTGCTCGGTGCTTTGAAGGTTTTAGGTATCTTAATCCACTGAAGCACCATCCCCCTGCCCTCCCATTAAAGTTATCCTAGAGTTGACCAGAGAGACTATGAGCGTAGATCTTGGTGGATTAAAAGTCTAGTGAACTTGTAGAACTTCCCCTAAACGTCTGCTCTAGTGTGACAGCAAGAACGAAGCAGACACCCCCTGCCCAGGCAGGTACTGGTGCTGCTGTACCTGAACATTTAATCTCAAATTCCTTCTTGCAAATCCGTATCTGTAATGATCTAGGCTATTTTACAGGGATTGAAAACTAAGTAAAACAATGAGTCTTCGCACCTGGTGTTTGCTCCAGAGTGCCCTGCCAGTACTTGAGCGCAGCAGCGGCTGCTGCAGTGCGTTACACAGGACAGTGGAACCAAAGGGGGGGACACCTGCCTCTGCGGTCAAATGGAGGAGCAGCTGGGTGAGCCGCTCTTGGCCCAGCAGCGGCACTGGCCCTGGGAGCCAGAGGCCGCCTCTGACCACAGCGCTGGGGCAGCCAGACTGGCCGGGCAGGAGGTCGAGGAACGGCTTTCCCCAGGGAGGGACACGCAGCGCCCGAGGGCCAATTTCAAAAGACCAGACTAAGCAACCGGTCACCTCTCCAACGTCCCCCTGCTCTGTGGGAAGGTGCAGAGTAAAAGGGGGGCAAGGCAAGCTGTCAGAAGTCTGCTTTATGCGACAAAAGAGGATTAAATAGATTTAAAAATGTCAAGTTGTTAGCTTAAGGTGAGTATTACAGTCCAGAGGTCCAACAGCATTTATTCCTTTAAGTACAGGTGTCTTAACGCGCAGCTAGAAACACGTGGCTGCGGGAGATGGCCCGGCTCAATGGAGCCCGGCTGACTTGGAGGGACACAGGCCGGGGTGCAGGCTGTGCTCAGCTGGGAAGAAATGGCAGAATTTGCAAAGTCAGTCTAAAATATGACTATTCCTGAACAACAGTGTATGTCCACCAGCATCAGCTATTTAAACAAATAGATTATTAATTTATTTTGCATTTAAAAATAACCAAACGCCTTCTCTCCCCCTATTTTGCAGTCTCTGTCCGTAGCACCTGCTTCACAGTTCCAAATCCTGAAAGGAAATCAAAAAGATTAGCCAGTGCAATAAATTCAACGGTAACTCCAAGTATTTGCCAGCAAGAGCCATCTCTTTCAGAAACGAGTGTTTCTTTCAGAAGTTTTATGTACTCACGCTGAAGTAGCAAATAAAAGATTAATCAGTGAAGTCAGACAGGGCGAGCCACAAGCCTGTTCCACCTGTAGGCCGAAAGGGCTGTGCCAGACGCTGCTGAGCAGAACACAGAGGCTGCAGAACAACGTGCGCTTCAGACAGGCACTCCCGTGCCGAGCCCCACGCTAGCGAAGCCGCCCCGTTCTTACTGAACCGTTTCAATGCGCCCATTCTACTGCAGCTCTGGTTTTTCTTCCCCAAAGGTTGTGTTTGTTTAAACAAGCCAGCGACTCTTCTGGTCTGTAAGAGATCCTGCGCAATGTCACACAATAGACCATTCTTTTTGTTCAAGGAATAGGTTATGCTCTTCCAGCTTCCGATATTCCTGCCCTGGACAGCAGTTTCATAGCCCTCCTTTGATTTCTCCACATTTCTTGGAAGTATTGACGTGAAAACCTGCCCCAGCATCCTAGGAAGTTTTTATAGTACTTCAGACAAAAGCATTTCCCCAACTATGATGAGAAACAAGAACAAAACTAATGCATAAAAAGAGGATCAGAAACCAAGTCAACATCAATGAAAATTATTCCAGAAAGCACACAGCTCGTTACTCTTAAAAAAAAAAAATCTTCTATCTGTCACCATAGCAGTCTGTGCTAAATCAACACATCCGTGGCCAACATTTTTTGAAGTCAAATCAGTGCACTAATGCAAATCCCTGGCCGCATACCTGAGATCAGCCCCAGATGCTGCACAACTTACAGAGGAATCAGACTCTGACATAGGCAGAAAATAATTCAAAGTCTGGCTTGATTATTAATAGTTGGGAAAGAAAACAAGTAGAAGCAGAAGCAGCAATAAAGTCTATTTTCATCTGCTAGTCCACAAATAAGATCAAGAACAACCTGATGGTTAAAAGCAGCCTGCGTGCTAACTTCAGACGCTCCCTCTATCAGCAATTGTGTGTCAGACACAGCGCAGGATTCTCAGTAAGAATGTTAAATTATGTAGGTGAGATGTGTATAGAAAGGGCTCAATCAGGTTAGTAGAAAGCAGCACTTAACTTAGTGTAAATGATATATATATATGAAATATTTTTAGATAAATACACACACATATAGATATAAAAAATAAAAATCACTACTATATAAAATCACAACCCAACCTGTATTAATGACTACCAACCCCTCAAAATTTATCTTTTGGGGGAAATTAAGTCAAGATACAAAACACAAATCTGCAAGTCGATTGTTGAAACTTCAAGTTCCACTTGAGGATGTAGCAATTATAAAAACCTAATGTTAAAATGAACCTACACTGTAACAACCACACAAGCAGAGGCAAAGCCTTCCCAGCCTTGCCCCCTGCACGGCAAGCTGCCCGGGGAAGCGGTTCCTGAGGCACAAGCGCTGCTGCAGGTGGTGGTTGGGATTAGCGGGGCGCAGGTATTCGCCCCGATCAGCGCGGCTGGAAACGGCACAACCAGCCCTGCTGCCGGTGGGGAAGGGTGTTGCAATCCGGGCAGGGGAGGCAGCAGCAGCTCAGGACAGAGATTAACCACGGCCAGCACAGCGAATCAGCCTTTCCCACCCCCCGCGGTGTCCTCGCCGGTTTGGGGACTCGGGTGTCGCTTTGCCGGCCCCCCCCGGGCAGCACCGGGCCAGGACTGCAGCAGCGGAAGGTGAGAACGGCCCACGGCCCCGAGCCCCCCCGGCCCCTGCCCCAAACCAAGGCTGGCCTAAGGACAGGGAGGGGGCTCTGGCCCAAGGAGGGCAGAAGCTGCCAGCAGTGGAGACAAACACTTGTGTCGCCAGAAGCAGGTGCACGCCTAGGTCTTCCCTATGTCAGAATTCTGAGTCTTTTTTCCGAAGTAATTTTAAGGATTACACAACAGCTCTTAACAGAAAGAGCACTGAACAGGCAGCCTAGGAGGAGCAGAAAAGGAAATAATACCACACATCATAAAACCCAAAAGGTAACTGGAAAAGGTACATCAATTCCTGAAGAGAGGTTAAAGCTCTACACATGTGAATCACTTGAAGAAATTTTCCATTTGCGAAAGAAAGATCATACTGACCACAGGAGTCCAGGATGAGCGGCACGTAAGACCCATTTAAGGTCACGAGCGTCCCCCCAGCAGCAGCGGCGCGACGGGAGCCTCGTTCAGCCCTTGCCCTTACGCTGTGCCCATCGCTGCATTAGCAGTGGGAAGCCCAGAAACACACAGACAAACCAGGGAACGGGTTTGTTTCAACAACCCAACGACTCGGCCCGGGGAGGCCGGACACAGCAGGGAGAGGAGCCTGCGTTAGACAGAAGCACGGGAGATGATCCCACAGGAGCATTCCTGAGCATCACCAAAAGCACGGATAAAGCACGGCTCAGCAGATGTTATTTTTATGGAAGAACGTAAACAGTTTCCTCGCATCGCACAGCAGAAGGTGGCACCCCCCCGGGAGGGGCCGAATTCCCCTCTCCCCCCAGCCGGGAGGCACCACGCGCAGCCGGTAACCGACAGCCAGGATCACCAGGGCCTGCCTGGCCTGGCAGCATTTCCTGTGGCACTGCCAACATAAACTGGATTCATCACCCCAAAATGTACATCAATATTTCAAACACACTTGTTGAGTAATTTCAACTTAGTTGATTTGCTGAATAAAATTTAATTTTATTTAAAAAATCTTATACACTATTATTCACCTAGCCCTAGTTGTGAACAGATTCTCACTTCTGAAAATAAACCACATTCTAGTCAATTCATTCAACACCAAATTAAATTACTAGTACTGGATTTTTTTCTTAAAAAAAGTATGTTAAAACTTTACTTTTTTTTATTTTTAAAACCTCTAAAGAAAATGTTGCAATTTTACAGAAATGTTTCTTTTCAGGTTATGCTTTTTTTTTAAATGCCTGTTATAAATTCAGCTTGTGTAGAGTTCTTTTTTTTTCATAGTTTTTTAATATGTATTATCTGCAGAGACATTGTAACAGTTCCATTTTGTGGATGAACACAAAACTTGTACAGATTTCTCGTATTTGGTCTTTAGGTAAATAGTTCCCAAAAGCTGCCTAAATAAACCACTCCAAACTGTTCAGTCCATCATGAAAATACAGTTTTTCCTTTCATAGCGGGAAAGGAAATATAAATAATGCATCATTATTACAGAAAATGACAAAAATCAGATTCAAATTAAGCCAACTATCTAGCTTTCACTCACCTTACTGCATGAGGAAATAAGACGTTATGTGAATTAAAGACTGAACAGCAGCCTTACGTTTAAATTTAATTTTGAAATGTAAAGTGGAATCTATTACCACAATTAAAGTGAGAAATTACCAATACATTTTAAAATGTTCAACTGCAGAACACACACTTAAAAAAAATTATTATAATAATATGGTAGCCACTGTTAGAAAACCACAACAGCTACTCTTAATGGAGACCCCAAAAGGTCAGTGTATGACATCAAAAGTGTTATGGAGAAACTGGTCAGATTAATTTCTACTGATGGGTGCTTAAGCTTAAAAATATCGAATATACCTCTGACAAGATAATTTTACTCTTTTTAAAAGGACTTGTGATAAAGAATTTAATCTTTCTAAATGAAGAACAGTCTGTTATCTTAAACATACACAATATTAAGCGAGACTCTTGTTTTACTTTAGACTGGAAAAATATGCCAGGGACAGTCAAAGTCAACACAAAGTAACAAACAGCAAAAGGTAGCAGAAAGAGAAACAGGTAAGTGCAGCTCTGGTCAAATTCATAGCAGTTCTTTACGTCAGTTAACGGCTCATTTACATTGTAATTTCTAATCAGTTACATGCAAGCCCAAAGAAGCATTTGATCACTACACATGGTAATAAAATTTGATTAAATTTATCAGGCAACTGCTAAAATATGAAAATTTGCAGATGTAATAAAGTAGCTTTATCTGAACTTTAACAGGACAGACAAAAGTAAATCATTCCATTGGTTAAAAAAACCCTACATTCAGTTTTTTACCAAACAAAATTTCACATGAAAAGTATTGTGTGATTCCAAAGTTTCCGGAGTAGAAATGGAGTGATTTGAAATGTCAAAGACCCCATTATTTTGCAAAGAAATGAAAATACACCTCAAAAATTTCTAATTCCACATGTGAACAACAAAATACTGCATATCTACCAACAACTGCATCGGGTAGGTCATTATGAAAGGCTAGCTGCCAAGATGTAGGAAATGGCTCCTTGCCTCTGTTCCCTTTGAGGAATATACAATCGTTTGAAACCAGTTCACACTAAGCGCTTATCATGCTGCCGTTACACTGAGATACTCAGTCCTTAAAATAATCTGATAAAGATTTTTTTAAAGCTGCAGCCCTCCCCAACACTGTATTTCTCAGTGTGCACAGTTCGGTAGGGGGCAGGGAGGAGCGGGGGTCACAGCCTCTGGAACAAGATGTTTTGCAGTTTGACTTTAAATTACCAAGTTTTAAGGCCACCTGTGTTGGGTTTTTTTCAGTGCTGAAAGTTGAAGTCTGATCACAGGGCCCCTTTCCCCACTGCGTGAGAACATGTTCCAACATTTTAGGTGTTATATTTAAGTGTCTCCTTTTGGCACCATGGAGTTTATTTTTTTTTTTTAAAAAAAAAAAAAGAAAACTCCCCATAGTTTCTAGTTCTGGCTGCCTTTATCACTCACTGCCACAGACGGGGTGTCCACGTTAACAGCTATGACTATGCTCTCTCCATCTTCTGTTTTGATACGTTTGAGTTCCTGCTGTTCTGACTGGTCTCCGTTCTGGCGCTTTGTTGGAAGAGATGCCGATGCAGATGCATGGGTTGCTAACATATGCAAAGGACTCGCAGCAGCTGTGAAAAGATAATAAAAACTTCAGCACCCTAATCCTTGTCAAAACAGCTGATACTGAAAGCAAACTTGCATTTTCATTAAAATGACAAACTCCTCTATTGGCACTACGCGGGGTATTAGCTATCCCAGTTGAGTTTCAGGTCCAAACGTTTAACCTTTGTACAAACCTGAAGGACATCTTCCCAAACCACTCAACATTCATGCAGATTTGCACAAAAGCAGGAAAACCAGGAAGTATCTCCACTTTGTCACTGGGGAGCTGAAGACAGAGGAGGACTAAATGACTGAAAGCCAATCTACACTGTCATCTGTGACAGAACTGGGACGCAAATTCAAAATCCCCTTTCAGTAGGTTCTGGCCATGCCTGTGGATCACTGCAGAACGCATTCCGTGGCCCGGAAGGAGAGCACCACCATGTCATACTCATCTGGGGCCGTGAGTTATTTAAGAAAACCTATGGAATTCACACAGCCATGAGATGCACACGACTCCAGCAGCAATTCCTCTTGGACAGATAACGAGGCATTGACGCACAATGTAAGGAAAAGGCAGTGCTTTAACAAGTTGCAGAGTTCAGAAATGACACATTTGATTCAAGTGTACAACTGAATGAGATCAACAGAAACGTATACAGTTCAAACATCCTGTACAAGATTTTAATCTTCCTCATTCCATGGAAGAGATAGTACAAGTCACCATTAATGGGCGAGTACAGTCCTTTAAACCCCGAGACACACAAAGGTTCCTTCCCTCTCCTTGCTGTTAGCAGTCTATTTCTCAATATCCACCCTGACTTTATTAAACCAACTATTCAAGTGTCTTTGCACATAATGCGAAATATTAATTATGTATTTATTTGCTCATTGCATTTCATAAAAATTTATCTAAACATTATCAGACCACCTGCTTTTTTTACACACAAGCTCCCTTCCTTCAGCACCACTGCTTTAATGACATCATTACAGCACTCACTGCTAGCGGAGCTTAAAGATGAAGTCCATAGGGAATTCTTATTTGCTAAACTTGTTACATTTGTTCTTAGTAAGCTATTCTAGGGAGTATCTGGAATATCACCTCTGCATGTAACCAAACTGTTTTGTACTCAGTCTTTATTGGTAGAACAAATACTTCAGAAAATATTTACCTGATGCAAAAAGCTTCACTGCAACTGTAAAAGAATTTGTTCTTGTATCTCAACATTCATTCAGCTTCTATTAGAAAAGCTATTCCTTATACAGTTTCTGAATAGATGTCTTAGAGAGAGTTACTTCTGAATCAAATGCTTTACTGCAAATTTATTGTTGCTTTAAATGAAAACAAGAAGTTCACCCCTCGTCTTCAAACATGCATTAAGACTATTACAGCACTATTCACTCCGGGGTCTGTTTAGTAGGAAGAGACTTGCTGGCTGCAGCCACAGCTGCTGCATGGAACTACAAAATACACAGAAGAGCAAGGATGTTTGAAATCTACACTGAAAGTCAAAACAAAGAATAACTAGTTACATCATTTTATTCTGCAATGAGAGACCTGAATTTATTTTGGACTTCACAGCTTTCAGTTAGACTGACAAGTAGTAAAAAGCGCTGCCAAACTGTTTTGCTGAGATTAAGATCCAAAAGCACCTTCTTACTACAAATAGATGTTAGAAGAAACAGTAGTTGCTCTGGACTTTTTAGCTTTCACACTGTACAAATCTTCTTTCCCCAAAGGCAGAGATAAACACACACACACACGTAACAAATGTGTGTGTAAATACAGATGTATACAGACATATGTAGATATATGAGTGTGAACACAGACGTATTTGTAGACACATACAGACAAATCTGTATTTCTGTAGACCTAGTTCCCCCTTTAGATGCTTTTCCTGAGAACTGCTTTCTTGCTGGTTTAGGAGTTACTGTAACAGAGAGACCAGGACCTGGAATACACCTCACTTGCTGTTCAAAATGCAAACATCTCATGAGGTATTCAAGCCCAAGAATCTCAGAGTAAAAACTCCCATCACTGCAAGCTCATCCCTATCGCACACAGTGAAACAGTGAGAAGCACCACAATTCTACGCTCAGGCACATTTCTTAAACACACCTAGCATCCATGAGGCTTCCCTACCAAGGAAAACATGTTGAAATTAGCTGAGTTTTCAGAGCCCAGGAAAAAGACAAAAGGAATTATTTCTTACTTTTAAAAAATAACTTTTCAGTATATTTCATATGACTCTCAGCTCAATTCATACATCCCTTCTGGCAAAAAAAAAAAGTGTATATGAAGTCTGACAGCAATTGCTTTTGCTTTACTTAAGTTGGAAATGAAGTAGAAGCAGACAGAACACTGACCTATAAATGTCAGTGATGGAAGACGAGTAGAAAAAAACCAAAGCAGATAATTCACTCCATTAGAAAGACTTCAGAGCAGAAATACAGGTAATAAATAAGATAGCCTAAAACTATTTATGTAAACACATTTTATGACAGAAAAGCTCCATCAGTATCAGATAACAGCTCAAACTGAAGCTGTTAGAACAAGCTGTATGCACCTGCAAACCAAACCAAAACTGAACATTCTGTGAACAAGTGTGAATATATGAAAACTACAAAAAATTACTGCTACGCACTCAGACTGCCGAGTCTGAGAGGGGAAAGATGGTATTCAGACAAGGCTCTCAAAATCTTACAGAATTTTTGTCATTTTTAGTACAGGTTCAATAAAAACACAATAAAAAGTAACAGTTCAAAAAGCCAACCCACAAGCAAGTTCTGTCTTGTTTTCCTGTTGGTTGGTTCTTGACAAATCATCTGGGGAGCAGTTACCATTTTAATGGCACTGTTTTACAGGAACTTCTTTTAAAACTTGTTTATATCCTGGGTTTAATGAGGAGGGAAGACGGGTTGTCACCACTAAGTACATCCCTATAATAACCACAAAGAGAATAAATAGCTGTTCAGGCAATCGTCAATGAAGAGAAACACTGGTTCTTACCAACAGGGAGGGAACAATCCCTTCCAGGGCTGTAATCTAATTTTTTTGTAGAACTTAGTTTTCAGTGTAACTAGGAAAGACATGAAAGCAGGATTCAAAAATTCTGCACTGGTCACATCGAGGTTTTAACACATACAAAGCAACAGAACACCTTAACACAGTACGTACCAGCGTTGCCCTGTCCTTGTATCGCAGTGGTGATAGGTACTATGTGCGTTCCGTTCTGTGTTACAGTTTTTATTGGTAGCTGGTGTTGACCTAGAGGTGCCTGTTGTACTATCGTAACTGTCTGTAAGGGTGTGGTCTGAGATGTCTGAATGATACGACTAGCAGCTCCTATTGTAGCATGACTAATAGCAGGTATAGGCTCCACTTTAACTGAAAAACAGAAGATAAAACATTCTTAAAAACCAGAAAGTGTTGAAGAACCATTTCTTTTTACTCAATCAATCCTCAGGGAACAAGTAAACTGTTTTATTACTAGCTCCAACATATCTGAGAAATCTTAATCCAAAATCTTCAGTTTTAGCCAAACATTTCAAGCATTCATCTGAAAGTAAATTTCAAATAACAATCCTTCTGTATACAGCGCTAACAAACTAACAAAGCAAACCAACTAACTCCACAGGTTCTCACCTTTTACTTCCTTGTGGTCTCCATTCTCTTGAGGTTCTGCCTTGGGCTGGGTTACCATCGCAGCTTGCGTGACTACTGCCTGTCCAGCTACAGTGTAAGTGTTTGCTGGTGCTAATCCGGTCACATTTGTAACAGACACAGCTGGTATCTGGTGGACAACATGAACTGTCTGAACTACAGGCTGCTGGGATGTTGATGTTGTCACAGGAGTTGCAACAGTGTAGGTGACGGGTTTAATAGTTTGTGGTAGCTGCCGTTGTACAGTAATTAAAACTGGTTGGCTAGATAGAGGTGATCCTACCAAGAAAGAGATAAAAATTAGGCTGCCAATTTCAATTATTTCTTTAAAGCCAGTCATTCTTTTAAACTCACACTAAAGCCTCAAAGGATTAACAACCTCCTTCACTAATGCCTGAATGATCCAAAAGCTAAAACCGGACAATGAAGATTATGGCACGTGGCTATTCCAAGCCACGTATTCAAGGTAAGTGCTGTATTAGCTCAGTAAGACCCATACACCATTTGGGCAAAAGCCCCCTCCCCCCTCACCCCAAACGTAACTATGCTACCAAAGCTATGTTTGATACTCATTTAGTAAAAGTCCTTTCCATAGGTGGGAACATATATGTGCTTCAGGTATTATGTGGAGAATGTCTGCATTGGCAAAACTCTCAGCTTCCTAGGCTGGGGAAAGCCTGGTGCCTCTGCTTAGGACCATGCTTGCCACAGAACAATCACTGGCTCTTCTGTAGTACCAGAATACAATTAAAAAAATGGATGGCAGAAGTATATAAACTAAGGTAAAGAGACAAATACATCCTTAACCCATCGTGCCTTATGCTCCTTCTTTTTATTTTTTTAAATAGGAAATTTATCACACAAATTTATCCTTTCTCTCTTTATCTTTTCGACTCTTTACCTCCACCTTTGAAAGGGTGACATAACCGTAGAGGCATGCAAGACATTTGCTTATTTCTGTAACCCACGTGACCTAGTTTTTCGGGTTTTTTTTCTAAACCAGAAAGAATACATTTTGAAAGGAAGTGACAACTGTTACAAGACAGTACAGTCCTATACAGGACAGAAGCACAACCTCTGCTTAGTAACAAAGTGCTCAAGGGTGCCGGAACAGCTCACAGATAACAGTCTATATGCATGCAAACAGAATTTCCCGGGCATGTATTCGTGTTTTTCGAAGATTTGCTTTAAACGTTAAGAGGTTAACCCTTTTTTTTGGTGTACATGTGAAGTCTTGGTGTTATTTATATGTTAGCCCTCTCCCACCTCCAACGCCCAAACGCTTATTTCAGGATTCCTCACCTGGGGCACTCTGTGCAAATCGCGCTTCTTGTATTACCGCTAGTTTTGGCTGGATAGCACTAGGCTCAGGTTCCATGGGGACTGGAGATCCTTCCCTGGACAGACTCTCGGGGGTCTGGACTCCACTGGAGTGCGCAGACAACACTCCAGAGTGATTAGGAGAAGCTGGGGCACTTCTGTATTTAAAAATGAAAGCAGCAGCTGATGTGTTTTAACTTCTGAATGGTGAAAGACAGCGACCTTCCCTCTAAAGAGACCATAACACACACTGCCCACAGGAGGGCACCTCTGCCTGCTGGCAAGTACAGTTACAAGCCAGAGCAGTTCTGATGATGTTTTATAAAGCTTCTGTTAAACAGGGACAGAATTTAAAAGCAAACATCAGGTATAGTTAATGGAGAAGAAGTGGCTGGATGCCTTCTTAGGGAGACTCTCTAAGTAATCTGTGAAACATGAACGTTTCTTCTGGTGGAGAAGAATGATGAGCAAATCTCAGTCTACAGGGCAAGTAATAAAAGATCTGCACCAGCAGAAAGGCTGTAACTTTACAGAGGGAACAATTTAAACCCACGTATTTCCCCAGCATGAATTCTGCTTGAACATTATCAAACTAAATACATTGTCATCTCTAAGTTCAATAAAATGGTAGTTGGTATTTGGTAATTTTCTTTGCAAACAGTTTTAAAATGCAGTAGATGTCAGTTAGAAATGAAATTATAATTCTGCAAAAAGAAAAAGCCCAAAGGTACAGAAAGGCTTGCTTATGTTAACAATCTGATAGTTATGCAAACTGAGTCAGTTCTTTAACACTAAAAACAAGCAATAAAAACAAGCCTAGAGTATGGGGCAGCCTCCTAGTAAACCATACAGAATTCAAATACTGAGTCTGGATTAAATTAAATTACTAAACTTGTGACTGTATCCAAAACTATCGAGTCTGTATCAGCCTGAAGATTAAACAACAGCCATAGTCTTTTTGTTCATCTGTTTTTCCTTACCTAGAAGAGAGTGGTCCCAGAGGGGTTCTAAAGCAAGGTACTCCCCTAGGCCGCCTTTTCCTAAAAGCCTGCTCTATTAATTTGCTTTCAGAGGCAGGGTCTATCCTCCAGAATGAGCCTTTGCCTGGTTCTTCCTGGGAACGTGGTACTTTGATGAAATAACGATTCAGAGAGAGATTGTGACGTATTGAATTCTATGGAACATAAAAAAATATGTAGAATTCATATAACTTTTCCAAGTCAGAATGTGGCCTACTGCAGCAGTTTGTACTATAGGAGACTCGGGGTTCAGCACTTTAATTCCTTAATTCAACAGAACTCAGAGCACTACAAAGGCAGTGCCATAAACCTGAAAGGACTCTTGCATTTTTTCAAATCTTTCCCAACAATTAAAAAATCAGTACACTAATGTGGTAGTAACAGGAATCCCATTTGATTCTCTAATGGGAAACACAGCGATTGCAACAAACTGTTAGCACACTACAAATACTTGCACATAATGCAATGTAATAAAAAAAAAAAAAAAAAAAAGAAAGAAAAATCAGTCTTCGAACACCACCCTTCCCCAGGTGTCAAAGAAAATGTCAGTTCACTCTAGGAGGGCCAGTAAAATACAGCATATACTGATTCCGATCTTGTATGATAATCTTGTTACTGGTTCCACAATATAGAAAGAAAAGGTTAAATTACACAAGTTCCAAATGCAGCTAGATAGTTGGGAGTTCACCCACAGTCCAGTCTGTCTCAACAAAGGAGCCAAGGATTTAGTGTGTCTAGAAAAACAACAAATGGCAGTGGGTCCTAAAACAGCTCTTCAGTGAGACCTTTGTTACTGCACTCTAGTTTGCACATTACTTCATCCTCACTTTCCTATAACACACACACACAACCCTTCAATCAGAGAGATGTAGAAAACTGCTAACACCGTGAAGTAGTTGTATCCATGCTTGGCTTTGCATGTACAATTTTTAATTTTTTTTTTTTTTTTTTAAGATAGATAAACCCAAAATCTCTCAAAATATTACCACTGGACAAGAAGAAAGTAATGATAAGCACACATACTGAAATACTTGTGAGGGAACAGAGGGAAAATGGAGAAAAAGCTTTATGTCAACAAAAGCTCTTAAAAATTTGCAAAATCAAATGCAAATCTTGCTCAAATGTCTGATTTCACAACCTTGATAGCAAGTTCGGAAAACTTAAAGCAATGATAACCATGTATGGCTTCTTAAATGCAAACTGATGAAACCGGAAATGGTTTTCCCTGCCAAAAACTGAAACAGGACTAGAAAGATGCCAAGAACACGTTTATAAATTGTATTTATTTCTCCATATGCTAGAAGAAAAGAATAGATCTGAAAGTACCTGCTAAAATAAGCTCACAAAGAGGAGTCATCAAATGCTTAACAAAATGAGACCTTTATATAATAAAGGAAATCAATACCTCAATACAATTTGTTAAGCTACAGGATTTGGATACTGTACACATGTTTGTATTCTATGTTTTAAATAATATGCACATATATAGCTTCAAATATTATTTAAAACATCTATCCGTAAGCCACCCTAACTGTAATCTAACACCTGATGGATAAAACCTAGCAGAGCTATTCCTACCTGAGGTACACCTGTTAGTGTTACAGCAGGGCTTTATATAACTAGTGACCGAACAGCATCTGATTTTCAGCTTTTCCACTTGTTTTTATGAATAGGTGCTAATTATTCCAGAACATACTATGTCTGCTGTGACTATCACCTTGGTTTTGTGAAGTATTATACATCTAAATACATACACTGTTCTGAGGCAGAATTCTTTAACCATCCTTACAATGTGTGAGCATGTTCGGTTCCATGATGCTTACATAAAGAAGCATTATACACACAGATATTTGGGGTATCCAGACCAGGGAGCAAAAAGCACACTAACATTAACATTTTAGAAACGGAATCTTGTTGCTAGAACAGATCTGTTAGTATGACTGCAGCCAGGATTCTGCACTGCTTATGTGTGAAAGGGAAACAAAAGAGACTTCCTAGCCACAACAACAGCAAAGTCCTTTACTAGCCAAACCATCAGCAAAAAAGCTTGGAACAGTTACATTCCCCACTAACCTTGGAATCCCTCTAGGAGTGATTCAACTTTCAAATAGGCCCTATGACGAATAACTGTGTGACTAATATTTTAAAATCTACTCCTCTACTGAGAAGGCATGTAATTCTTTAGTCTACTTGTACAAGCAGAGTATTAACACTTCCTCACTCTTCCCCTCCCCCAGTCTCTCCAGATTTTACTTCCCTGAAAATAACTTCAGAGCATGCCTCTGCTGCAGCTCATGACTGTCCTAAGCAGCAACACAGTGAAATCGATACTCCACGTTCAACAGTGCAGTCTGAATGTTATTCGGGCAAACTGGCCAGTCCTGCTAATTGCGTTCTTCTGTCCTTTGCTGAAACTAAAAACAGCAGCAAAGACATTGAACCTTTATGTGTATCTGGAAGGACTATGCCAGACTGATTCATACTCAGTTAGTCATCCTGGCAACTACTGAGGTTGGTCTCTTTAAAAATGAAAAGAAAGCAGAAATTAATTCTACAGAATTGAAGCGCCTGACCTAACTCAGTTCAGAAACAATTATGTTCACAAATAGACTATGCTGCACAAATAAAAAAGGGCACATAATAGTGCAAGATAACAACAGATAACATACACGCTTGTTCCTTCACTGTATTGCATGGTCAAGATCACCATTTTCAAATAAAACTGAGCTTGTAACATTTAATATTTTACTTTTATCTCAAGATAACAATATGGATGTTTACACAATTATAAGTTACAGAACACAACTACATTCCTAGATAGCATACTTGTATTTAAATCTACAGTGCCAACTGTACTTCTCTTCCTTGAGTGTCTGTATGTTTCCCTCCTAGAGGTTTAGAGAACACCATTCCATGAATAAAGCAACGTTTCAAATACAGATTAATGTAAATTGCCTACTTTGCTGGAGAACTCACAATCAGGAAAAAGACAACACGTGCATTTGACAAATTCTTTTTATGAAGGGCTGTCAGGCTCACCTATTGACTTCTTGTGACCACCTATAGCTGCCAGTATTACTCACAACTAACAAAAACACATTCCAGAAAGCAAATTTACCTGCCAGCCCTTGTCTGCTGTCCTGTAGTATGGGTAGTTTTTAGTTATGTGCGTATAAATTCCATTTAGTGTAAGCTGCTTATCAGGTGCCATCGTAATTGCTTGTACTATTAATTGTGCATAGGAGTAAGGTGGTTTAGAGTCGTCCTGTACAAGAAAAAGAGAAGTCTCCATTAATAAACTTTAAAGATATACACCCCCCTTCTAAATCAAATGTTACAAAGCACAGTTAACTTGATTTAAGGTACTTTTGGACAACCAAAATCTTGAGCCAGAAAAGAAATTAAGACAATTTTGCTCTTCTGATTAGCAGATTTTAAGATAACATGAAAGACTTAGAGAAACATACAACAGTAAAGAATTTTCAATAGCCTATAAACAGATACAGAACTGAAAATACATACAGACCCTCCCACAAATGGAAGAAAAGCAAATAAATAAATAAATCTCACATCTAATCACAAAATCCTACAAACTGTTTTTAAAGTCTGTAATATGCAATTATGACATGCATATATGTTAGAAAACAAAATTTCAGGAGTCTTAAATTCACTTACAATGTAATTTATGGGATTGATTTCAAATACTGTTTACCTTTGGGCTATCTCCACCCGATGCTTCCTTGTCATTTTCTGACTGTGAGTTGTCAGCCATTAAATGTAGGTCAGATGGTATTACACGACTCATTTTGTACCCTGAAGAGCCTGCACCACGGGGGCTAGATGGGCAGGAATTTGCAGCACTGTAGAGCACAAAAAGAAGATCCTACTATTTTGTTATACAGTATATCACCACATTATGTCTAATCAAAAAGCTCTTATTGCAGAAAAGCCCACTACCAGAGCTTCTAGGCTACAGTTAAGGGTCTGTCAGTATTTCCATTATAAACCCCATCTTCCAAGCCTTTTTAACTCATCCATGGGAATTAAAATCACTGCAGGAAGAAACCCGTCAAATGAAGCTCAGGCTTTCCTCCTCAGAAGGATTAACTGATTTATTAGGTTGTACCGTGTGTGTTTAAGATTTGCTAGCAGAAAAGACCACTTTAACTGCATAAACAACCACAAAATTTAAGACACTCATTTGAAACAAGAAACAGATTTTGCATGAAATTTCTGCCATATGCTTGTATTCAGTCTGCTCAAAAAAGAACATCTCTCCTGTGCAGTATTTTTGCATATTTGAGAAAATATAGCAAGCAGTGAGGAAAAAAAAAGTTTTGATTCTCACTTAAATCTAAACCAACACTATATTAAGTGTTTCCAGGTATGTGCATACATACATACACACATATATATATACACACACATACATAAACTTATCTATAAATGGGATGCATCAGCACTGACCCATCTCATTTAACATACTATTAGGCCAACAGAGCAGATACACTGTTACAAAATAAAAGAGAGTGCCAAACAAAGGGAGTGTCTCTCGATACCTCCTGCTTTGCTATGCGTCACAGAAAACCAAGATAAAATTGTATATAAATTCACTGTAACATCTTCCTAACAGTTGTCCTCCTGCCTTGCACAGTCCACAGGAACCACAGCTGCACAAATCTGGCTTTCTTCTACAGTTTCCACTTAGCCAACAGGAAAGAGACAATCAGCCGGTGATGTCTGTCCCCTTCCCCCCAAAAAAATTTTGGCAGTTCTCTGCAAGGATGCATACTTCTCAGCAATTCATACTGTAACTGATTTCAACACAGACCTCAGAAATTCCAAAAAAGTTACCTAAAAATCAGACTAACAAAACCTGCTGTGCCCCCAGAACCAGCCTTATCTCCAAAGACAATCTCTAACCTAACTTCAATCTATGGTTCAAAACATCAAGTAACAAATAAAGCTAGAGAATGTTATTTAGATTTATACAATAAAAGCTTTAACAAATTTACATCTGTCAAGTTTTGTTTGTCTGCCTGGCCTCTCAAGTTTTTTGCTACCTCCCTTTTTATATACAGAAACAAAGCAGGCACTGTAGATTGGGCAATATATATTAAAAAATATTCTTCAAGTTTCACATCACAATAAACCCACCAACAATTTGCTATTAGTAATCTACTAAACAAAGGAGATTGGATTTTTTTAAGTGTTGTGTGGAAGAATCCTTGATTAGAGCCAAAAGGTGTAACTAATTATTTTCTTTTTTAACTACAGGTCATTGCTGTTCTATGTTTTCACATATCAACTGCCAACATCCCTCTACTGTGCTCACTTTAGCATATATTGACAAAGCGACACATATGGTATAATCAAAGCAAGTTTACAAGGCTTCTACAACACAGGATGATTTGTAGAGAAACTGTCAAGCTTTGCTCTGAAAACAGACTCAAAATTGTAGTGGTTCTTTTTTTATAATGAACTATACTCAACAGGTGCATGAAAGCCCTGAAGAAAATTACAAAATTCATAGTTAGGCGAAGACTGTGATGATATATGTGATACTATCCAAAATATTTATGAGCTGCTCTGTCGTTTCTTGGGCAAGATACGTTTTCCCTGAATATTAATAAGCAAGCAAACATGATACCCAGTTGAGTCTAGTGCTTTTTACTCTCTACTTCCACCATTTATATAAATCTCATTAAACACTACAATGTTGTGATCAAGATCTTGACAAGCATGAAAGAACTCAATTATCCTTACATTCAAATTTCATTAACAAGATGTACATTTTTAAAAATCAAGCATTAACAGTCCTTCCCTCAAGTGAAGATACAGGAAGTGAGAGAGGTCGGAAAAACTTTAGAAAGCACGTATGTGCCTTTGAAACACAACTTTCAGTGCCTTCTCCTGAACTCTCTATGAATTTTTAAAATTGTGTCTAAACTAATTTTACCAGTTTGTGAGGACAGCCTGCCTACGTTTAATTGAGTTTGGTCCCAAATAACAAGTCCAACAATGGCTATAATTACCAAATTAAGCAGCACAGCAAGTAAAAAACCCCAGATTAATCTCCCCTGCAGAAGACTTCCCCCTACACTAAACTCTACATCTTGCCCTGTATTTTAAGTAAAATGTCTGTTTACTTCCAGCAATGACTAATCAATAATTAATCTTCTGGAGTAGGAGATCAGACTGTTTTCCACACTAACGATAAGCAAAAAACTTTTTTTCTGATAATACACTTCAGGGAGACAGTAATTAACAGAATGTTAAGAATGGTGTAATTTAGACTTATCTCATTTAAAGTGTTGCTATGCAAGAGTAAAGTATGCAAGAGTAAAAAGCAATCTCAATCATCTGGAATGCAAGAAAAAGATAGGCTCCTTTGTTGTGCTAAGAACGCCAAGCTCCTGAGCACACTGTTACACATTTAACATATTAAATTTGAATATTAAAGGCTGTTCATACAACTATCTGGTTAGTTAGCAGAATGGTGGTTTTCTCCAAGGCTGAGCTTCACCTAAACTTTAACCACAAAAGCAAAATACTTAAAATGAATTAGAAAGCCGTCTCCAGTCTGTAACCATACATTGCCCTATATCCCATCTGCAGGTTTAAATACCTGATAGTTCCTGTGGGAGAAGGGAGAGGGCTGATCAGGTGAGCCATGTTGTCTGGAATGTTTATTGTTAAGGGAGAGATCTGGGGTTGCACAGGCTTCACTGGGGACTCCGGGGCCTCCTGTTTTTCTCTCTTTTCATTGGACAGAGCTGTGAATGTTATCTTGATGTTTGTGCTGGGAAACCTGAAAGTACAGCTGAAAAATAAAAAACAAATATATAAGCCACTTGTTTACAGAATGTAATATTTTCTGCTTAACTTGCACATATTACCTAACCTTATTTTAAAATTAAAAGGTACAGTATCTTATGTAATTACGTGTAACCATCTTCATTTTACAGATCATACAGAAACATCAATGGGACCAGAAAGAGATCCTCAAGAAAGCAATTTTAGAATCTGGTAAGAAATATAAGCAAATACAATTCTTTCTAACAAGGGCAGTTTATGTGTGCGTTGTCTCTAAATTTCTTGAGGTTCATCCTGATCTTGCAACTATCCCTAAAAGAAGTACTGTTTTGAAGATAAAAGTCTATTATTTTAGGATGCCAACAAACAGCTTTGGCAAATGAACAAGTAAGTAATGATATCAAAATTAATCAGGAGTATAAATGTTGGACAATTTGATGTCTACCCAGTTTCAGAGACTGGTCTAACTAAAAGATTTGGTTTCTCTTCTCTTAAAATACTTATTAAATTAAACACATATCAATCCTATTTCTGATCATTTACAGAGTATATTGCTGTTGTACTACTACATTTAAATATCTTTTTTCAGAGCTGAATTTAAAAGCCAATTTCAATAAACTGCCCATTTTTGTGTATTAGTAAAGTTTGCATGCCCAAATTTAAAGACTAATGATAAATGAAAACTTTGGAAAATAAAATACAGTGAATGCACTTTTGAGTATTTTCCTTTCTACATCTCTGTATATAGCATTTGGAAGTTAGCCCAATTAAACAGAACAGGCTATTTATAACTTCCCAGTAAATTAAGCAAACAAGAAACTTAATTTTCTATCAACAAAAGCATCTATAAAAATACAGTTCAAATAACTTTACTATCTCCTCATTCTTAAAGCTGTTAGACTACACTCAGCACTAAACCCACAATTATATTTACACACCTCTGTCACATGATGAAAACGACTTCCCGACAACACAATACCCAGAAACAAGCCTTAGAAATTGGGGGGGTTTTAAAGTGATTTTAGGTAGATCTAGTTTTATAAAGAAAGGAAATAGCAGCATGCTCGAACAGGCCTAAGAAACATAGCTATGAATGCAAGATACAGACTGTAAACAAAAGTGAACATTTCTCTGGAAAAATATATTAAACATAAGTGATGTAAGAATTGGAAGGAGCACTCAGCTGTGGAGTAGCCTTAAAAATACTAATTCTCATGAGTTTTGTTTTTTATTTCTTAAAATTCATCCAAGGGTGTTTATAGAACAAAGGCAGCATTTGATTTTGACAGTGTTTCTTTCCACATGCACCACAGTGATTCTTTTTTCTTACAATACACACCCAATAATAAGGAAAAAGAATTGACAATGACCTTCCTTTTCTCTCAGTCTTACTTCTCAGTATGGACCATGTCCGAATTTAACAGACGACCTATTTCTGAAACATGCTCAATGTACTAAATTAGAAACCGAATCTATGCCAAAAAACTGCACATGCATTTCAGCAAGAAAGTTAAATGGACCAGTTTCTGGGTTGGGTAGTTTGGTGTGGTTTTTTTTTTTTTTTTTGTTATATCTTCAGGGACAACTCATTTATTTGCTTTTTCCAGTAGAAATTATTTTTTGCTTATACTGTTGTAGCGACAATTCAAAGATGTGTCAGCTGTTTTGGTAATAAAAATGTTTTCTAAACATTTCAGTTAATCAGCAATAATGACAACACTACTCCTTAAGTGTATGCAAAGAGGGTAGCCCAGGGCATCCTCTTCTCTAAAGATTAAATAAAAATCCCTGTGAGAAAGTGAAAAACAACATCTGTTTGACATAGAGACAGGTTTCAATTTTAGTCACCTGTTTGCTATTTTTTTTGAGGCTATTCCATACTTGCAAATTTCACTTAATGCTTTTCAGACCAAACATTTCAACTTAAGAAAAACGGGGGAACTGGACATAGCTTTAGATGCTCTCTCACTAGTACTGCCTAGTAAAAAAAATCCAGTACATAATAATGAGCAAGCAGAGCCCTACAGTGCTGGAGTGGGGTAAGGATGGCGAGGTGGTAGATATTCACTGCTTAGACACAAGTACCAAAAATACAGAAACATGTAACAGGTATACTCAACAGTTCCTTCAAAATTCCATGGAAGTATGCATATTAAAATATCTCCCTTCTCACACTACTGAACTACCTTAATGCATTATGTCCCCTGTGGGCACCTTTTGCAAACAAGGTACAGGCAGCATACTCAGATAAGACTAAAGCACAGATTTCCAAGTATAGCAGAGACACAGTGCTCTCAAACGTCAATCAAGTTTTGCAAAAAAACAAAAACAAAACCATAAATCACCCCCCAAACCATGAACTTTGACTAACCAAGGGTACTGTATAGGTTATAAATGTGCCAAACAAACATGAAACTTATAGTCAGGAACTATATTAAAACCTAAGGGTGTTACTATCACAGTTTATGACATTTCACATGCTGTGCTTGAAAGGATGGCATTATTAAGGAAGACACAATATACCTACAAATCACTATCTGGTTAGAACCTGAATATTATCAAGATACCACATCTGTCAATTGATTCATATTTGTAAACAGAGTTTTTTAATAGAAGCATGGTTTTTATAGCTGGAATTCAGCCAAAAAACAGAATAAAGAGTGTATACTAACCAACAGATTTTCTGAATAAATTGCATTAATACAAACATATTACACTTCCAAAATCAAAGTAAGGAACGTGTTCTATTTTGATCAGAATCAAGTTGGTTTTGGCATATTCTTTAGTTATAAAGTGAAATAAACAAAAACCACAATACGCCCACAGGGAGAGACCTAATCAAACATTTCGTCTACAGCAAGCTGAATTTGATTTTACTCTCTGTTTAAAGCGTTTACAATAATTTCAGGATGGTTGCTATAAGAAACTCATCTATAACAACCCACTTAAAAAAAAAAAAAAGAAAAAAAAAAAGAAAAACATAAGTTTTGCAAGCTGTCACTCTATATCTCATCTACACAACTACCATTCTTCCTTTATAGGATGATGCCATTCTGAGTAGGGAATCAAACAGAGCCACCAAGATTGATCCAAAAGATTCCTAAAACAAATGTTTACAGAACATCCATGTTTAAACAGTTATATGGTGAAAAGTGTGTTACGTATCTAAGTGATGAAAACAAATCATACTATTTAGCTGATGTGCCAGCATTGTATTTTATGTATTTCAAACAACTATTCAGAGTACCCACACTTAAATAATTTTGTACATTTCGTGATTATGATGAATACTTGCTTTGTGCTTTCTACCGAGCATCACAAAGGAGGACAGTGTGCAATCTAGGAAACTGCAGTAGAGCTGTCACAACTAAAATGCAACTCATGATACTAATTATTCTTTTGTAAAAAGTTCATTCTGTGTTGACTACTGGAAAACAGACAAGAAGCATCAAACCATATCAAACTACATCCTATAAAACTCTTACTATCTCTACAGCTCTCAGCAAAACGGAGATGCACTGATCTAGGCTCTACCCCTAAAGAGTTTAGCATCTTTGCAGGGTGAAAGATAAGTGTCTTGTGAGAAAAGTCTAGTTTTGTCACATCTGTATTTCTAATATTTTCTCACTTCCCCCCAGCAGTTCAGTCTGTACTGCAGGTAACACCTAATTATACACTTGTAATTCTGACTATATGAAAATACCACCTGATTGAAGATGAGGAATTCTGTCCTGTCTCCACCTGGGGAGCCAAAACATAGAAAGAGGAATTCAATTTCCACCCTGTATGTAAACCCTGCTATGACACTCCATGCCTCAGTAAACTCTGCATTACTCTGTTTCAATTGTCTATTAAGAACCAGGACAGAAATTGGACAGAAGCTGCCATCCTACTGCTCTTTTATCAGCACCTCTGGATTTTACGTTCAAATAGATTACAGGGGTTCGGCACTAATGTCATGGTAGCTACAACTGTGTAGTTCAGCTCTTTTACATTGACTATGACACTGAACACTAGTTAACTTAAGGATCCCCCTGTTTTTTAAACAGATCCAAAAGAATAACAAGGTAAGAGTTTTCAAACTCATTGATTTACTGAAAGCCAAGGAGAGCTTCAACTTTTTACATCAAAAAGGTAAGGCCCACAAAAAAGAACCCTGTCAGCATCTGGGAGATTTTGGCATTTTTTTTACTTCAAATACAAGCATGTGCAACAGTCTAACTCATCTCAAGGAGAGACTGAGGTAATTAACACCACCTGTATCACTAAACAGACTTTTTGTGACTTAGGTTTTCTCTGATAGTACAGCAGGCTAAGATGATGCTATTCGTACTTTCTTCTCCCCTATTTTGATCAGTGAACTAACAAAAAAAGACAGAAATCACCATATTCTAGATATGGCCTCCCTCCCATGAAAGGGAGATTTGAAACTAATCCCTTTTCCAATTCTTCTTACCTACCTGCTTATGACTCACCTCCCAATTACTCTTTCCCCATCACTCCAGTAAAAATGATTCTCACAACCGATTAATTTATTTATACTTCTGGTAGAAGATATGCACACTCTGAAGCTTAAGTCACCAGTAAAATAATACAGTGCACGTTTCCAGGCCCATTTTTGATTCAATTGTATTTTAAAAGTCAAGCAAAAACTGTTGTTTTTTTTTTACATCATTCAGATAGGACCACAGAGAAACTGAGTTTAAAAGGGACCTTGGAAGTTCTTTAGCCCAGTCTCCTGCTCAAAGCAGGGTTAACTTCCAAGTTAGACCAGGTTGCTCAGGGCCTTGCCTAATCAAATTCTGAAGCCTTCCAAGGATTGAGTTGGGCAATTCACCCCTGTAATTAGCTACTCTATCGGTGAAGAATTTTTCTCATTTGTCCAGGTAAAGTTTCTTAGTTGCAACTTGCTACAGCTGCTCATGCTCAAACTGTGAGCCTCTCGGCACAGCCTGGCTGCATCTTTTCTACAACCACTCTTTAGGCAGGGGAAGACCGCAATTGGAT